GTTGTTGATGCATAATTTGGTGCTTTCGGCGTATCAACAAATTTATTCTTCTTTTAGATGAAAAAATTTATTTTAGAGGGCACGGCATTTGTTCTCTTCTATCAGTTCTTTTCCTAGAATATGTATATTGTTGTTTTGCTTTTTTTAAGATAATATATCGTTGTTTACTAGAGTGTTCTGATGGAAAAAAAAACATATGATACCCGCAAAAAAGAATGAAGGGAAATGCATTTCAATACAGATCCAGGTCTCTTAACAAAGGGCAATAATAGCCAATTGGATAGAAAGTACTCCCTCTATAAACAAATGTTGGATGTTTTTGTAGCCTAAATTGAACTGTAAAAACTGTATTACATTTGTGTACAGAGATGGTAGGAACGCAACACTTGCAGAGGTCCACTCATTTAGAATAGAAACCGTTTCTAAATGACATCGATTATGTTGGTATTATTCTGTCAAACTGTGTAGATCGAAAGTAGCAAAGAAGCATATATACGACTGTATTTTCGGCGCGGCAAAGCGCGCGTATCCATCTAGTATATATGCATTTCTAGCGTTAATTCTGCTTTGCACTTTTGGAATCGCCATCGTTGCTTCGCTCTGTCCCTGCAGCGAGCTGACTCATGTCTACAACAACGAGTGGGTGAGGAAAGAGAATCTACAAGTGTGCAGATACAGTGGCAGGCGTGGCGCCTGTGCAGTGCATATACAGTGGCAGCCGCACTGCATGTTTTTCTCATCGGGGCCCTTCACGCTTAGTTCCTATGGATTTGGCCCTTCATGCTTATTTCCTTTGGATTTGTTGACTTCTCTTCTTTCATGTGCAACATCTTTAATCCAGGCTAGCCGGTCAAAGATAACAAGGAAGATAGTCTACAAGAGAATATAGGCTCACCATCCCGAGACCTACCATTCCCAAATGATCCTGAAACATCTATGCTGGTTTCTCCTTTTAGCACCTTGCATTTGCTTTGGCTCCTAGGTAACAGAGCGATGCATTGGACATTTTATAGCCACCGATCTAGCATCTCCCTCTATAGAGATGGTTTGGCATCAATCTTAATGATGGTCAAGTACAGAGCTATAATGGGTTTTTTAATGTATTGTGTACACTAGATTCTAGCTTACATTTGCCTCTTCGAAAGAGCTTTTTACAGAGAGCTTGACACTGTACCTATGTGGTTAACTTTTTGTTACCCACTAAAGTTCCAAAAAAAAGGTAAGCCACTGATGACTCGTCTGTTTGAAGTTCAAATTGCTATATGCCTCTGTTACTTAGTGGAGCTCCAAAATTTTTGTTGGGCTAATAACCCATTTTGTTGACGTTTTGCTAGATATATGCGCATACATAATAAGAGTGATGCACAAGTCATTTTATAGCCACTGGATCTAGCATTTATGACATGTAGACGTGCTTCGGATCGGTATTAACCGTGGTGAAGTATAGAGTATAAAATTCTCACCGTGTGATTTAAATTTTAGACTCACACTCCTCAATTTCAGAAATGACGTATGCCTGCTCCCTAAAAAATGTTTGCAAAGTAGCGTATTCTGAAGTACCCGGTTCAACAGAAGGTATGAGCAAAAAATTTGGCGGCTGCTATAAATCATACGACTGATTTGTCAGGTCCCCAGCTGTCCGATCAAAGCCCTCGATACGTTGGATTAGTCAACCTCCAATAATTTTGTGGCTAAACTGACACACCTCCAATAATTTTATGGCTCATGATGGATTTTACTCTTCGTGTATTACACGTTCTCACATGCATGCTTTGTGAACCTGGCTGTGCTGCGTCTGTGGTCTTCTACAACACCAACGAGGTATGATCTGCTGACCTTCTGTTTGGCGTTTCTGGAACCATCGTTGTTACTTGATGTCAAGCATATCAAGTGTTTGTCAAATGTGCGAAAGCTGCAGAACTTGGTGCACCATTATTACGGCGTCAGTTTCTCTTAATTTACAGAACGACCATGCTATATCATCGCCATAGATGGTCGGAACAGATGTTAGAGATTAGAAAAAGGGCCATCTAAAAAAGTACATGCGTTCGCCATCCTGAGACCTATCATTCCCAAAAGGTAAGGCCTCCTTTGGTTTGTAGGAATTTTATAGGAATGCTATATGATAGGATTTGCAAAGGAAAAATTACTTTGAAGTTTTTTGGTTCGTAGGAATGGATTCCCATTCCTATGTAGGATAAGAATCAATCCTTCACATATTGGAGGAAAAAACATTAGTTTAGACTCAATGAAAAAATTCATATCCTATGCATCAAATGACATCTCTTACTCTATAGGAATTGAGATGCATGTCATCTCACTTCCTATGATTTTTTTTATTTCTATAATATTCCTTCATCAAACAGGCTAGAGATCTCAGGAGAGAGAACTTGGTATCAGAATGATCGAATATCATGAGATACTACTAATTTGCTATATATGTAATGTAGCCAATACCAACCTCCACTCTTTTCAACACATTCATTTGCTTTAATTCTCAGCTAGGCGCAACAATGCATATGCCATTATATAGACAATGGATCCAGCCTTTCCTCTAAATTGACATGGTTGGTATCGACCTTTTTTGTTTTGCGAGGTGGTTGGGATAGATCTTAACCACGGTCAAGGTTTTTTTGTCTATTTGAAGTTGCTTTTACCATGAGCTATAAAGTTTGGATGTATTGGCTGCTCTAAATTTCAGACCTACCTCTTCACTTGGACAGCAGGCTATATGTGGTGTTAACTTTTTTCTGCATGGATGTGATGTTAACTTTTTGTTGTTTTTTTTCTCCAAGAAGTGTTAACTTTTAGTGACACAAAAGTTCCAAGAAAATAGGTAGACACAACTGTTTTTCTATCACTCTAGATGTATTTGTTCCTCTCCACCCTTGTCCCACTAGAAGACAAGCTATCGTCCTCTTTCCGTCCTACGTCCCACCGCGCCTCTTTGCGGCAGTGGCGGCAGCCTGGTCGATGTCCAGCGACGGGAACCTGCAACATGATAATTTTCTACAGATTTTTCAAAAAGATTTTTTGAGGGATTTTTTGGCAGAATAATTTAATCAACGAAAGAAGCGACTTTCATTGTCAGAAGGCCGGCCACGACTATAGGCCCAATAACCCACACGCTGGAGGCCCAATGCAGTTTTGACAGATATTTGCATGTGCACGTTACTAATATATTTGCAGACGGATCTGTCCACGAAGAAGTGCTACTGCTTTAACACCGTGCTAGTGCAAAAACAGCCAACGTGGACTTTGCGGACGCGTCGACCCTCCATCCCTAAATCCATATTTTCTCTTATCTATGAATTACTTCACATTTTTTTGAGAAAAATATGGGTTATCAACAACTGCTGCAGGCTGGTGGTATATATGACTTCTGCTGGTTAATACTAGTATCAGTACAGTACTGTCCAGTACTACCGGCAGCATCGAGAATGTGATGAAATTAAAGATGGCTGACAAGGTACCATGCCTCATGCATGATAATGACAGAAGGCTGAACATGTTGAGGATTCAGAGTTAAGTGTACTCTTTGCTCATCAAGGATTCAGTGGGATTGCATTTCCATTGCCCACCATTTAATCTAATCAAGGCCTAACTAAGCCTGTTCAACATGTGGATCCCTTCTTCACTGAACTGATGCAAGTGTATGCAGAGAGATTAACTCGTGCCTTCAGTTCATGGGTCAAATATTACTACACCAAAATCTCTTTATCTTGGGAGTCAAAATTGCGAGCATATGGATATATAGCATAGGAAAATGAGATTCTGACTCATAGATTCAAATAGCCCGCGAAATAGCCGCAATAGCTGCGCTATAGCTGCCTGGGAGCCTCGCCGCTAAGCTATGGCTGTTGCCGCGAAAACCTCAACATATCCCTCCAAATGGCAGAAAAATCAGCAAAAACCTCTAGAAATCATCTCTCCCACCAGAAAATTTTCTGCTATTTGCCGCTATTGCCCGCTATGGCGGCCGCTATAGCTGCTGGGAGAGGTCGCCCCGAAATCGTTTCTCCCGCGATTTTAATCTATGTTCTGACTGCTGGCACATGGCAGCAGCAAGTAGCAGCTAGCAGACAAGCACATGTTTTTCTTTTCACAGATAATGCTGAACTCTCAGGTGTTGCAGCTCTAGGATTGCTGTGAAATTAGTCATAAAATAACTTGATATTAACTCAGCCTGCACATCTCTGGCCATTGAAATCTCTGTCTGCCACCGTTAGGTGCTGCAGGCCGGCCCGCTGGATTTGATTGCATCTCTTCTCCGACACTTCATCCACCAACTTGATCTTGTCTCGATTCACTCATCATCTCAGTCCTGAGTCAAACTTGCTTATCAACCATCTCAAGGTTTAAGCTCAAACTTTGGTCCTCTGAATCCTGAAACAGCTGCGTGATCTGCAGCTACAGAGTTCAACAGTCAAATGATCAGAAACAAGTGCAGCACAAAAAGGAAAGAAAACAAATCTCGCATGACGCCGCTGATGATAAGACATGACAAATTCTACAATCCCTGAACCATTCTTCATTTTTTGTGTTGTTTTTTAAGGAAACAATCCTTGACTATATCTTCTTTTCTTCCAAGAGAGAACACATTCTCTCCTCTCTGCTCTGCTCTGGAGCATTAAAAACAGCACTGATCCAAAAAAGAACAGCACTCATCCTAAACATGTATAGACCAAATTCCCAGTAATGTCGGCCTTGCGTTATTCTAGTGGACTATGTTCAGTTATATTCTCCCGTTAACCAATTGCATGCTCATGCTGTTACAAAGTTACTGCAGAGGCCCGATCAAAACAAGAGAACAACTCCTTCCATTTAATCCCACCATAAATCCCCTTGGTACAACTCCCCTTAACGCAATAAAACGCCATAAATCGCTTTGTTACAACTCACGTTAGCACAATAAAGCAAAGGGAAACCACCATAATTTACTCCTCTCGTCCCCAAGCTCACTTTCTAGAACTCCAGATCTTTTTGTATCGGGAAAAGAGATGGAAGATGAAAGGAAGAGAGCCAAACTGCGCAAATCCCTGCAGCTCTGCATCTCCAGGAAACTCAAGAAGATCCCTCCGATTCACATCCCCAGCTCGACCATTCCCGCAACCATCGCCAGCAGCAGGCGGCTCCTCTCCACCTGCAGGTTCCCGCGTACCCCGTCGCTGGACATCGACCAGACGGCCACCGCTACCACCACCACCACCAACAACAACAACAGCGGAGGCCACGCGGCGACGCTCTCCGACGTCGACCGCTTCCTCTTCGACAACTTTCGGTCTCTCTATATCCATGACCGTGACGATGACAACGCGCGATTTTTGTCATCGCCCGGGACGCCATCCACGTCCATTGTCGACGAGACGCAGCTCACCGCAGGAACACCATCCTTGTCGAACTCAGTCAAGGAAGACACTGGAGAAGCCCGGCCAGGTGATGACACCAGCGATGATGCGGCCATAGTCCTATTCTCCATGGACCCTTACACCGACTTCAGGAGGTCCATGCAGAACATGATAAAGATGCACCACGGTCAGGAATCTCAGTCACTGGACTGGGACTTCTTGGAGGAGCTACTCTTCTACTACCTGCAGCTCAACGATCAAAGTGTGCACAGGCACATTCTCAAGGCCTTTGCTGACCTCACTGCAGGAACCCAAAGGGCTATCCCAACCCGTGGAAAGCCGCACTGGGCTGACAAGAGCGTTAGGAGTAGGAAATACTAGGACACAGATTCAAAGATTTATGTTACAGGATACATGTTGCTACTGTACCATGTCATCTATTGCATAACCTGATTCGCATAAAAATGTAACGGAATGTAGAATACATCTTCCTGTATTGAATCCGAAGAATGCTGTAGACAGATATATGGGTTAAAGATTCCGAACAGAGTTTCTGACGTTTTAAGGATTGATTTGATTCGTCATGTCTAAACCGGAGGTAGTCTATTACACACCTCGATCGTCTGCCCTCTCCCCCTTGCTCCGCTTTCTTTAATATTCACCGTCGAGTCATCAAAGCCATCAACTAATTCAGAGGGGCTCGGCTGGCCGGTCGCCCTACACTAATGTCCCTTCCAAAGGCGAAGCTCTCGTCTTTGGCAACCAGCAAATGGAGGGCTAAAACCTGTAGTTTTGAAGAGTGATTAATGCTCCAGATTTTTGACTTAATTTGTTTCTTTATCTAGTAAGCTCAAACAGGATCTTCATTAGTTGTGTTCCAGTTGGAAATTTTTATTTTTTAGTCGTCTTGTCGTTTGAAATGAAAGAATTGAAGAAACAAGGCTAAATTGATAAGGATTGTGATAACTGTCAATCGTGTGGCAGATTGCAAAAAGTACCACACTACCCCTTCTCTTCGATCCACCACGTCCCAAAAGAACCCCCTCCTTCGATCCGAATTTTCTGGCTCCTCCCGATTTATTTTTTCTTTGCACAGTTAAAAAATAGGCCTGATAAGGGGATCGAACCCACACCCGTCCATACTAAATGTAACCACAACAACCACCTAGGCTAGCTCCCTTTGTTGATTCTAATAAACTTACATCCTAGTTGAATCTTCTTGAAATGAGATTGCACAAAAAAAAGACAAACATTAACTAAAAAAATCCAAAACGGCAGCCTCACTTTCCGGGTTTAAGACTATGCACCCTAGTTCTATCATTTTTTCTGCACGTTTCACACCGGTTCACAGAAATGATCATGCCATACCCTTCTTTCAGATGTATATTACCACAGTGTTTTCACATAAGTTATCAACTATGTGGGTTGTATATTACCATGCTATTTACATAGAAATTACTTAGGTGTGCTTTTTTAACAACTTTTTTCTCCCCTGGTCAAATTTAAGGCGGTATCGTGCATAAGTTATCAGATATGTGTTCGTATTTTACCGTGCTATTTTCACATAAGTTACCAAGGGTATTGTTTTTTTAAATAATTTTCCCTTTAGTCAAATTTGGATATTGGCTTTTAGTATTTTCCCCCTTGGTCAAATTTACCATGGTGTTTGTAAGTAAGTTATCGGGTATGCGGTTCATTTATTACCGTGTTATTTTCACATAAATTACCGGGGGTATATTTTGTTTTCCAATAACCTTTTCCCCCTTGGTCGAAGTTACCACAGTGGTTATACGTACATTATGGGGTATGTAGTTCATACATTACGGTGTTATTTTTCACATAAGTTATTAGGAGTATGTTTTTCAACAACTTGTTTCCCTCTTTGGACAGAGTTACCATGGTCCGTAAGTTATCAAGTATGTGGTTCGTATATTATCATGCTATTTTTATACAAGCTATCAGGATATATTTTTTTCAAAAACTTTTTTCAACAAAAAAATTACTTTTGTATGTTTCAAGCAAAAAATTCCTCGGGTCAAAAGTTACAGCAGTGTTCTGAACTTAAGTTATCACGCCTACGATGCCTATATTACCATGCTATTTACACATCAGTTACAGGGGTATGTTTTTCAACAACATTGCTCCATCAGGTGTCAAACTTACCGTGTTTTTTATACCTAAGTTATCATGCCTGCATTACGTAAATTATCATGTTGTTTACACTGAAGATACGGGAGGCAAAAAAAGGTTTCCCAATCTTCTCCCCATGCACTAGACACTGAAGTTATCATGTCTGTGGTGTGTTAAATTACAATGCTATTTAGGAAGGAGTTATCGGTGTATGTTTCAAATAATTTTTTCCCCGAGTTGAAGTTAACAGGGCACGTGGTATTTTAACTTACCAGCCATGCGGTGCGAAATTACCATGCTACTTTCGCGGGAATTACCGGGGTATGTTCCAGCACCCGGTCAAAAGTTACAGGCCCGGGTAACTTAGCAGCCCCTCAGGCCATCATGTAGAAAAACTCCTTGCAATAAGTTCTTTGATAATCACTAGGGTGGAATGAGTTATCTACGGGTTGATTCCATAAGTTTTTGATTCACTAACTCCACCAATGTACAACTACATGGATTGATGAATCTCAGCACAAGCATGATGTAGCTGACCTGGTTAGTGCGGTCAGAGTTTCCCATTGACCAGGCTAGGTCCTCGGTCGATGCACCATGTCAGCACCATGAAGGACATGCCGGACGCAACCACACCCAGAATTTAGGTAAAATCAATCAAAGCCGATCAGTGGCAAGCCATGTTGTGCATACTGTAGTAGCAATTCAGAAGCATGATGGTTGGTTGGTTTCTTATGGAGTAGAGGAAGGTGAGGATCTGGAACCTGCTAGAGATGATCCAGCCGACGAGGCTGCGCTACACGCCGAGGCCGACAACAACGGCCTGGAGGAAGCTGAAGGCCACACCTATGTAGAAGGTGATCACCATGGCGCCGTCGAGCTAGACGAGCATGCTGGCGAGCTTGGTGGCGCCGATGGTTGCCCTGAGGTTGAGTGACTCGGAGTGGGTGACTACGACGAGCACGAAGGAACATTGGGGGATGGCCATCCGGCAGCTGGAGAAGCCCCTGTTCATGAGGCTCCCCGTCATCATAAAGAGAAATGTGGTTTATCTGGTTGAGACAATACAAGTTATTGGTCGAAACAAATACAAGTTATTGGGCTAACACATCATAAATTATTATGCTAAAATGAAGTTACCATGAAAAAATAGAATGAGTTAAACATGCTGACAAGTGTGAAACGTGGTGACACTTCATAGTTATCAAGCTGTCATATTAAGTTATCAGGCTCAGTTTGCATAATTAATCAGGTTGAAAGTAAAGCGGACCGAATTAAATATGCTGACACCGTATAATTTATCAGGCTCAATTTGCATAATTAATCGGTTTGAAAGTAAAAAAAAAGTTGAAAGCAGATTGCAAATATGCTGACACAGTATAATTTATTAGGCTATAACAGTGTGATCTATCAGTTAGAAATTGTTCAAGTTACCATGTTAAAAAAATAGAATGAGTTAAATAGGCTAACGAAGTGGTTCTTATCATGCTGACACACTAGAATTTATTTCATGCCGACATACTATAAATTATCAGGTTCAAGCTGCATAAGTCATCAAGTCAAAGTAAAACATAAGTGTTGAAACCAGTTAGAGTTAAACATTTTGATACATCACAAGTTATCAGGCTGACATATTATAAGTTTATAACTTAACTTATCAGCTCAAGTTGCTTAAGTTATCTGGTTAAAGTAAAAAATCAAGTATTCAAAATGGTTCGAGTTAAAATGCTGGCATGATATAATTTATCAAGCTAAATCAATACGAATTATCAGGTAGAAACAATTGAAATTACTATGATGAAAAATAAAATGAGTTAAACAGGTTAGCAAAGTAAGTGTTGTCATGCTGACACGCTAGAAGTGACCAAGCTGACATAGTGTAAGTTACCGAGATGCATAAGGTTCAGACATTAGACTTCCTCTGAACAAAATACTCCTCATGCCAAGTGGTCCCAAGGCCAAGAACAGAAGGAAACTTAAGTACCTGAATGGTTAGATCAAGATCAATGGCGCCATGTTTGTGCTCCTCTCGGAAGGTCTCGAAGCCCTTTCACGATATGTAGTTGAACCTGTGCACGTCGATATCGATCCCAAAGTAGTTCAATCCCTACTTCATAATAAGTAGACATATGCACATGTTTCAATCAGGATTAGGGTGCTTCAGGAAATATATGAATTTCGGCATGTTGATGGAGATGTAAGGAAGCATGAATGGTCAGTATAGCTTGTAGAATTTGTGCTGGGGTATAGACAACACTGACTTTTGGTTGTAGGTCTGCACAAGCCTCCTGTCGGCTGCACTAAGCTGCGGGTCTTGGGGTTCACAATGTCCGCAGAATTTTCAGCCTCTCTGTGTAGGGCACGTTGTTGTCCACCGGGAACCGCTTGATCTTCTCCATTTCCTAATTAATAATACTCTACATAACTAAGTACTTACCAGAAACTTGTCTGAGGCACTGAAATGTTTAGCTTATGAAATGTAATCAATTTGGCTCACCTTGATGATGTCCTTAAGCTGAGGATAAATCTCTGTGTCGAAGCAATCAGATATCTTGACCAGGATTACGCTTTCACTGTCGTTCTCGCCAAACATGGTAGTAGAATAGGTAGGCAATTGTACAGATCAGCTAACTTGGTAAGTTTCAGATCTAACAAATCAATACTTCTTGGATAAGTAGTTCATAATGTTCGCAACTCCCACAGGTAAACATAATCCATACATAACAAGGTGAGTAGTGTGGAGAAATGTTAGATGAAACAGAGCTTTCAGATGGCCGAGGGGACTGACTAACCACACACCGAATCAGTTCGGCACAGCCTTGCCGGCACGGTGACCACCACCACCAGCAGGAGCAACACCGCCCGTCGCGCCCATTCCCAGTCCACGACGGACATTGGACAGAGTCCGCCTCGGCTGGCTAGTCGCCGGCGCGTGGTTGGCTCGCGGCGGGACGCAGGAGGTAGAGGGGGCGGCGCACAATGCCTGGTGTGGGTAGGGGGAGGGGGAGTGTGGGCGGCGCGGGGAGGCGGAAATAGGAGCCTCCGTCGGTGGTGGCGCGGTGGTGGGCGAGCGACCATGGTGGCGCACGAGCTCGCCGGTGGCTGGGATGGGGATTGGGCTGAGGTCGGGGGAGAGAGCGAAGCAAAATTGGTTTTCTCGTGAGGGTGGGGTTCAATCTGTTTGGTGTGCTTTTTTTTCTGCGTACCGCTTCAATCATGTGATCGTGATCCGACGTCTCTCAGTTAGTGTGGCA